CCCGAGACGGAGGAGGGGCGGGGGCTGCGTTCTCATCCGTGCTTTCCCAAAGAGGAGGGTGTGGGTAGGCCGACTTCAACCACCGCTCCAGCTTCTCTGAAACCTTTTTCCAGCGCCCAAATCTATTGCATAAGAGCAGGGGGCTGGCGGCTGGAGAGCCCTTCTTCTAAGTGTGGACCTCTAGAGATGGAGATGCACGGGGAATTGGCCAGGCTTTCCCTCTGTTTGGAGTCTTCTGCTTCTACCACCCCCATCAGGAGTCGAACTTCCTGAGGGGTGGGCACTCTTGGAAACCCAGCCCCATCCCCCCTAGGCTGCACACCGGTCCGCGGCAGTGGCAGACTCCCATAGAGTCTAATGCACTGGTCTGAGGACACACGGGCCAAATGCCTTGGGGAGGTCATGGCATTAGCTGGGCACTGCCCAGTGTAGGCTGGCTGGCTCCAGCCTCTGCCTCCAGGGGAATGGTATGGGTCACTTGTCTTCTAAGAAGTAAATATTTAATTTCCCCCACTGGACAAGGGTCAGGGGCTGGGGGGATGGAGCTCTGGCCTCTCTCCTGGGTCAGCTGCTGCCTGGCCTTGCTGGTGGGCACATTCCTGGCCTGCTGTGTTGCCCTATAGCCTCTCTGTGCTTGGGGGTACTTGGGACACTCAGGAACAAACAGGGAAAAGGAGATGGAGTGGGCTCATTCTTCTTCCACCCCAAGATCTGGGCCCATGCCTCACTCTACTCCCATGCCAACCCTAGGACCTAGATTTTGCTCACACACACCTCTCTCCCTCCCTCCATTTTACAGGTAAAGGAACTGTGAGACTCAGAATGGAAAGTGATAGGCTAGAAGTCACAGAACCCAAAAGGATCCACAAAGCCTGTCTCTATCTTATGGCCTTTGCAAGCTTTGGCTTTCCCAGAATTCTTGGTCCCCTTTGGGGTTTGGATCTTGGCAAAGCTTCTTCCTAGATGGGTGCCCTTAGGCAAGTGATTTCACCTCTCTGTCGCAGTGTCCTGGCTTTCAGAGGTGCTGTGACCATTCTGTGTGATGGTGCACCCAGCCAGCAAGCCCCTGCCATGCCCTGCCATTACCAATCATTGCTGCTATCATTATTTTGGGGCCAGTTTCCAAAAATACCCAGGCTGTTGCTTGGGAGCGGCAGCTCCAGCCTCCCCACACCTGTAGCTGCACATGGGTGAATCCCTAACAGTTACTGTTTAAACAGGTGGTGGCACTGGGGGGCTGGGAGGGACCAGGATCTAGCACCTGGCATGGACAGGCACATGCCACAGGGGCCTCTGCATCAGCCACATGGAACCAGCCAACTTTTGTTCCCTGAGCCCTCCTTCTGACCCCTCCCCCATCACCTCTATGTGCCCCTGAGATGTAGCCTGGATTGGCCCTGCCTCTGTGACCTGGCTTGCCAGTCTGCCCCCACGGTGGGGTGATGGGGACACTTACCAGTTTCCGAAGGGATCCCTCATCCAGCCCAGCTAAGGCCTCGTCTGCCATCTCACTGGCTCCTAGCTCCTTCCCCTTCTGGTGAGTGCACCTGTCACCAGTTCAGGTGATTCTGCAGGGGACAGACATGAGTCAGGCCTGCTGGGGCGTCTAGAAATCACAGGCACTTGGACTCTGTGCCTTAGTTTCCCTCTCTAACCCATTAGCATTCCTTGCTGGGAGTTGCCCTCTGCTGTAGGGTGGTTTGCTGGAAAACTCACCAAACTATGTGAGGGTCCCTGTTTCTAGCCTTGCCAACTCAGTCTCTAGTCTGCTGTGTGGCGTGGGCTGGGTTCTCATCCTGTCTAAGCCTCAAACAGGGAGGGTAGGGACCTGGATTGAGAAGCCAGAACCCGAGGCCCACCCAAGCTGCGCTCACCACCACCAGGGGGTGCACACCAGTCTCCACCGTTTCCTGCCCCACCCACCCCTAGGGTCTGCCCAGCCTCCACTCCACAAGCTCAGCCCCTGGCTGTGGACTGAGCCCATATCCAAGTTCTTGCTGCCATCACCACTCTCATTCTCCCAGATATAAGAGGTACACTGTGTCTTCCAATTCTTGAAGCCAGCCCTCCACTGTCCTGACCTCATGAAGCCAGGTGTCCAGGCACCCAGCACCTCCTGCCAATTAACATACTTACAATTCAGTTCCCTAGTTGGAAGGGCCTTCAGAAGCTAACCCACCCAGCCGCTGGATTTCAAGCAAACGGAGGGATAGGAGAGGGCAGGGATTTGTCATGGGGGAGGGAGACACCCAAAGACACTTTGGAAGGGGGCTTCAGAAGCCAAAGATGATCAAAATTTTGATTGAATCGCTTCCAGCCTTGCCAACTCAGCCTCTAGTCTGCTGTGTGGCGTGGGCTGGGTTCTCATCCTGTCTTAAGCCTCAAACAGGGAGGGTAGGGACCTGGATTGAGAAGCCAGAACCCAACGAGGCCCACCCAAGCTGCGCTCACCAAGGCTGGAAGGGATTCAATCAAAATTTTGATCATCTTTGGCTTCTGAAGCCCCCTTCCAAAGTACCTCTGGGACCCAGGACACTCCCTTTTGCCTCATCACTGCCCATCAAAATGGACCCCTAAATACTAGCCCAGCCTCCCAGTGCAGCTCTCTCCTTCTTCCTGTAGTCCCAGTGTCTTTTTGGAATTTTAGGGCCCGTGGCCTGGCACACCATAGGTGCTTACTTAATGTATGGTGACTGAAATAGCCCCAGGAGTGCCCCCTACCTCCTGTTGATTCATCCCTCAGTCATCCCCTTCCTCCTCTCCAGAACAGACACTTGGCAAGTCACCCCATCTAGTAAATGGGTTGGGGGGTGGGGGAGTGGTTATTAATCCACACAGTTGGGGTAGGTCAGACCACGCCTGTTCAGGTCACTGCTTGCTTCTCCCATCCTGGTAGGCTCTGATAGATGTGAACTTCCCAACCTCTTGTTAGGGTCCCTGCCTTTTATCTACCTATTTCGTCTACTAGCTCTCTCAAGACTGTCGCTCAGTAGTCACCAGCTTTAGGTTCTGTGGACATGTCTTTTCTGCTGAGGAGCAGGGGTCCCTAATGCCTAATTTGGGGACTGTAAGAAGTCTCCACCTCCTCAGATTCCCACTGACCCCCCCCAATCCTGTGGCTCCCTGTCACACGGTCCGCAGTCGGCGGACATTGGGTTGGGGGAGGCACTCAGGGGTCTGTGAGAGCTTCCTCAAGGTAACTGCCCCACAGACTAGCGCCGGGGGGGGGGCGTGGAGCCTCTTGGAGGTGTCCTCCCCCACCGACTCAGAACTTTATCCCATAGCTTAAAGCTCCCGTGGATAGGTGGGGACTTCTAGGTCTGGGAGTTCCAGAAACCCTGTCCAGATATCCGGGTTCCACCCCCAGACCCGTTGGGACAGCACCAGGATCCCCCGAGGTCCTCACACCCACCTCTCAGTCCAGTCCACCTGTCCGGCGCAGGTTTGAGTTAGCTTGTTCGGAACCCGACAGACAGATTAAAGACGGGCAGGCAGGAGACGTCGCGACCTGGCGTCCCAGGTCGGCTCAGCAACCGTCCCCAGGACTCTGCGGAGAGCCGCCCGTCCAGCCGCGCCAGCAGCCTCGCTGGCCCCGCCCCGCAGCGCCGCACCAGCCTATCTTCGATTGGGTACCGCCCATCCTCTCGCCCCATTGGGAAAATTCAATTTGACGGCCACGCCCCGAAGGAAGGCCCCGCCCCTCGCGGGCCTGAGGTGTTGGAGGTTGTAATTTTGGGGCGGCTGCTGCGGTGCCTTTGATAGGTCGGATGATCGTCGGCAGGGGGACGCAGGCTCTGTGTTAAAGTCAGAGGACGCCCCGAGCCGGTGGAAGAGGCCTGGGGTCGTACAAGTCCTAGATCCCTCTGGACAGCCGCTCTCCGCCCTCCTCTTTGTTCGTGAGACCACGTCCCCTCCCTCGGCTCCACCCCCTCCTCACGTCAGTGCTGAAGCTCGGCCGCCGCCCCCAGGCTGCTTTCCGGACACATGGTCTGGGCCACCTCAGAGTAGGAACTGAGTGACCGGCAGCACCTTGACCCTGTACTGGAGTGTCAGGACCATCTCAGGTGGAGCAAGATCAATCACAGCACTTTGTCCCCAGCCCACACACAGACACTGCCTTCATCTAGCCTTTCAAGCCCTCAGGGTCTGCCTCTTGTAGCGTTGGAGTCCTAAAAAGGGAGCATAGAAACCAAACTTCATTCAGCAATGGGGGAAATTGAGATCCAGAGAGAGCTGACATGCCCAAGACCAAACAGTGAATCAGCCACGGGACCGAAGAACTCAGACCCACTGAAGAAGCTACTCTGTCTCTGGTTCTGGAGGCCCTAAAGCTACCCGCGGGTCTCCATGGCGACCAAAGGGGGTGGAGCCTGGGAGGATGAGGGCCTGGAGTCCTGTCAAATAAAAATAATAGTAATATCAACTTTTTTTTTTTTTTTTTTTTTTGAGTCAGGGTGTTACTCTTTCACTTGGGCCAGAGTGCAGTGGCACAGTCACGGCTCACTGTAATGACCTCCCGAGTAGCTGGGACTACAGTCATGTCCCACCATGCCCAGCTAATTTTTTATTATTTTATTATTTTTATTTTTTATTTTTTGAATTGGAGTCTCATTCTGTCGCCCATGCTGGAGTGCAGTGGCTCACTGCTCATGGCCACCGCGGCCTTGACCTGCTGGGCTCAGGCGATACTTTTGCCTCAGCCTTCCAAGTAGCTGGAACTACAGGCATGCGCCACCATGCCCAGCTAATTTTTTGATTTATTTAGAGATGAGGTCTTGTCAAGTTGCCCAGGCTGGTCTCAAACCCACGGGCTCAGGCAATCCTCTCACCTCAGCCTCCCAAAGTGTTGGGATTATAGACGTGATCCACCGCATCTGGCTCACCAGCTAATTTTTTTTAAAAACTTTTTTGTAGAGACGAGGTGTCTCTGTGTTGCCCAGACTGTTCTCGAACTCTTGGACTCAAGCAGTCCTCCCGCCTCAGCCTCCCAAAGTGCTGGGATTGTAGGCATAAGCCACCTTTGCCTGGCCAACTCATTTATTTTGTATTTACCATGTAGCAGACATATAATCCCCATAAAAACCACATGAGACCAGGATTATTGTACAGTTTTACAGATGAAGACAGCAGCCAATACGTAGTGGAGCTGTGCAGTCCAGAATCTGTTCTTTGAACACTATAATGTGGGCTTGTGGGGAGATAGTTTTCTGTTGCCCCAGTAGAGTCTGGGTCCAGATCTGCCCCCTGCACCTTTTCCCAGAGGCCCCCTCCCAGAGGCCCAGTATCTACCCTTATAGTCTTTTCCATGTGTCATCTCATTTCATTCCCACATCCCTGATAGGTGGTCCCACTTTGCACATTAGGAAACCCAGGCACAAAAAGGGAGGCAACTTGTTGAGGTTACACAGGAGGAGGGGCAAACAGCCCACTTTCAAGGATGTAATTAGAGATCCTAGGCCCTATATACCTGGCCTAGGTGCCATCTTATTCTCCAGAAGGAAGGTCTGTGCCCTTCAAGGTCAATTCTATGGTACTTCAAACCTCCCACACCCTTTGGGCGGGATACACCTTGGCCCCTTCGGATTTTCAGGGCATGCCTGAATGGCAGCTGTCAGCTCCAATGGATGGCCTGCTTTGTGCTAGCTGAATAGCCCTTCCCTCTGCTCCTACAGGCTGGAGGAATCACACAGGTGCATGTGTGCAGGACCCTGTCGGAGTGGAGGGAAAGCCAGGGTGAATAGGGATCCAATGCTGACAGCTTGGTAAAGTATTCACTCTCAGACTCAGGCTTTGGAGCAAGATATCACCCTTGGCCCCTGAGCTACTCCAGCCACTCTCCACTTGTACACGTGCTCATGGGCCCATGGCAGTGTCAAAAGGATGCAGTCCTGCCTGTTGTCGAGCCCTTAGGGACCAGATCCACCTCCAGACCCATCTACTTTTTCTCTTTTTCTCTGCAAGAGCCTGGGGTGGAGGGAAGTGGGGGAGATGGAGTTGGTAGTCTAGAGAGCAAAGGGCAGCTGAGTACAGTGCTGGGGAAGTTTATAACCACAGCCCAGGAAAGGGTAAACATCCTGTGAGGAGGGCCCTGGCATTTACTGAGCACCTACTGCAAGTCAGACACTGGACTCTCACTCTTGCGTTGGAGCTCATGGAGGTGAAGGCACCCTGGCCTTGTAATGGCATTCGTACTTCAGTAAAGTTCTGCCTGATGCTAATATACTTTCCCTCCATCTTGCTGCTTCTAGGATGGGGGAAATCCTGGAAGACTTCTCAGGGGAGGTAGGTAGGTATGTAAACTGATCCTTGAAGATGATTGCAAAGAAATTCGCCCAAAAGAGAAAAGGGAGAAGGGCATTTGTGGCAGAGGAATAGTGTGTGCAAAGACCAGGAGGCTTCTGAGTGGGAAAAGGGGGAGAAGAGGCTGTGGGTAGAGCAGGAAATGGGGATGCTTCCATTTGTGAAGGACCTTGAATGTCAAGTGAGCAGGGTAGATGTACCTTGGAGGCACTGGGGAAACCTGGCAAGGGCTGTAACAGGAAGGATCCAGGTTCTTTCAGGTTTAACCCTAGACTAGTGGAGAGTGGCTGGAGCAGCTCAGGGGCCAAGGGTGACATCTTGCTCCAAAGCCCGAGTCTGAGAGTGAATACTTTACCAAGCTGTCAGCATTGGATCCCTATTCACCCTGGCTTTCCCTCCACCTTGTTAGGGTCCTGCAGGGGAAGTCCAGGCTTGGGGTCAGGAGGCAGGAAGGGTGATGTGTCTTAGTCCTGGCTCTACCCCAGGCAAAGTGGAGCCCACCCCAAGCCCTCTTGAAGCCTTAGTTTCCTCATCTGCACAAAGGACGAGTTGTGTCTTGAGCTCCCTAAGCCTCCTCTTCCCAGCCTGGACAACTTAAAATTCCAGCACTTTCAGGGAGACCCCCATCTTGGGTTATGGTCAGCTGAGGCCAGAGCCTTGGAGCTATGAGAAAGTCGAGGAGTCTGCTGGGCAATAGGAGGAAAGAGGAATCAGAGATGGGTCAGAGTCAGTTCTGAGTTGGAGACAGTATCTGAACTCTAAAAGTTTTAGAGAACCAGGCCTTAACTTGCTTTGGCATGCAGAGAGGATAGAGAGTGCGGCTTGGAGAAGGGAACAGCATGAGCAAAGGAAGGGAGATAGGGCTGTGAGGGCCTTACTGGGGAGCAGTCAGGCAGGTGAGGCTGGAGAATGGGGTCCCTAGAGGAGAAGAACTGGTTCTTACCGAAGTTGGCTGGATCCAAGGACTGTGACCCTTCTCCCCATGGGCAGAACTGAAGCCCCACTAGGTCCTGGCCAGCAGCCCTAGGTGTGGATTGAGGACCTGTTTGGCAAACCAGTTTGGCAAGGCCATCTCCTCCATGATGTCATCCAGCTGTTGTTTTCTCTGGGCAACAGTGCCAGACAAACTTCCGGCCCTAGAATAGGAGAAGGGGACCTGAGACGCCCACTGGGGCAGCACTGATCTGCAGGAGAGGATTCTGGATGTGCCAGTCTGAACCTCTAGTGACTTCTGGGGAGTCCCTGAAGCTTAGGGGCATGTAGATCATGGTGGGCACTGGATAGTTGCTTCTGGTGTGTTGGACCCTGGCTCCCAATCACCCTTATAATACACATGAGGCAATTTTGTTATCTTTATGACCCTTGCAGCTTGAGTCCTGTGAGGCCTGTGAGGCAGAACCATCATTATACAGATAAGGAGACAAGCCACACTAGCACCTCACATGAGATTTTTTTCTTAATCCTGTATTCCCTTTATTATTCCCTGTATTAACCCTTTTTCTTAATCACGGTATTCTACCATCCACCATTTGGGAGTTCTGCCCCAGTGGAGCCTTATCAAGCCTTTTCACTAATCCTTCTCTCTACTCATGAAGGCAGCAGCTGAATCTTGGCATCACAGTCCTAGGTGCCCATGTCATGGTCCAAGTAGGTCACTGAGTCTTGAGAAAGCAAGGGACAGACCTCAGGTCACACAGCAAGCCAGGGGTAGAGCCACTCTGCACCCCAGATCCTTAGCTTCCCAAGCCTTTGTTTTCTCCTCAGGGCTTGGCACACCTAAGCATGAAATACCAATAATAACTGGCATATATTGAGTTCCCATGCGACATCATTCACTCATTTAACCTTTGTCCCAGCCCTGTGAAGTAGGTGCTAAGATTTATATCCATCTGACAGACAAAGAAACTAAAGCTTGGAAAGAGGAAGTCATTTGTTCAAGTTGACATAGCATGTTGGTGGTAGAGCTGGGATTTGAACCCAGATGTTTGGGCTCTTTCCCCTCAGTGGATAGAGTGAAACCTGTAGAAAGGAGGGTGGGTGGCCCCTTTGCAGACTCTGGAGGTGAGCAGCGTTCGATTCAGACTTTCCACGCAGGTCTGTCTTCTTTGGGGCAGGCAGGAAAGTGCTGAGGCCACAGCAGCGCTCTGAAGCTCCCCAGAGGAGGCGGCCACGGTGGGAGGGAATGCTCGGCACCAACTTCAGAGCCAAGTGTAGACGTGGCGGCTGGACCAGCTGCAGGGGAGGGAGGGCAGGCAGGGTGGAGCCCAAACCCA